GCAACCACTAGAACAGAAAGAGGGCTGACAACTTCCAAACTAATTCAGGGGAAGACCAATCTATAAAAAGAGCCCGTCGGCCACAAGACACAAGAAAGACGATCAGGACAGAAGAGGAGCGGCAAAGAGGGGTCCCCGCTGAGGCTGCCATCCCGTCCCACCACGTCGGTGGGGAGGTGCAGCCACTTACGCTGGAAGGACAGACGGACGAGGAAAGGTTGGCGGGGACAGGATGGAAATGCAGAAGGCACTCCCGGGGAGGAGGGGCCGTGACCGTGCGCTCACCCCCGCCCAGCGGCACACCCCCAGAGCGGACACGCGTCAGGGAGAATGGCGGCGCCCGACGGCGGGCAGACGGTACCAACCGCGCCGGGGTCCGAGACCACTCCCAGCCCTGCGCACAGCAAAGGCAGGACCAGGGCATGGTCCTCGGCCGGGAGAGACGCTCTCCTGTGAGGCTCGTGGGCGGAAACTCGGGAGCTGGGGGTGTGAGTGGGGGTGCACGGGGTGGGGGGCTGGGGATGGCGACAGGTGCCCTGCAGAAGAGAATCGGGGACAGAGAACGCGGGAAGGAGCCAGGGGTGCCGGGGCGCCACGCGGGGCAGACGGGACCCTCGAGTGCCGAGTCTGGGCTGACCTCGGCTTGCGGCCCAGGCGGCCGGGACCCCGTCCACCCCAAAGGCCGGCAGGCGCAGGGTACCTGTCAAAGGGCAGGGGGCCGCCCAGGAGGCTGGACACCACGGCCGCGCAGTGCTGGGACGCCAGGAGGTACACGCTGTGCTGTGCGGCCTGCAGGACGTGCTCCTCTCGGGTCTCCTGCAGCTTCGAGCGCAGAACGCTCACGATCTCGGGCACCTGTGGGGCGGGGGGCGCGGGGGTCAGGCCCTGGGCACACCCACCCCAGGAGGCGTTCCAGCGCCATCAGAGCCGCCAGCTGTGAGCCCCCCAGCCAGGGTCACGGGGGGCGGGAATCCCGCGGGATCACCGCCGGCCACCACGGAGAGAGATGCCACGTCCCGGTGCGGGGACCCAGATTCCACGTGGGAGGCCACCAGAGCAGAGCGCGTGCCAGGGTGCACACGGGCAGCGTTCGCGTGACACACGGAGCACGGAGGCCGGCAGCTGCGATGGCCCCGCACGCCCCCACGTGGGGACGCAAGCCCCGGGCCCCCCTCGCCCAGCAAAGGCAAGGTAAGCGGTGGGCTGCGACAGCGAGGACCAGGAAGGGGACGCTCGTTCTTGGACCGCGGCTGGCAGGCTGCTGTCATCCCAGAAGCGAGAGGGGCCATCTGGTTCAAGAAGGGGCAGCCAGAGCACAGCCCAGGCCCCGACGCGGCAAGCGGGCCCTCTTCTGGGCACGGGCTTGTCACTGCGGGTGCCCAGGGCTCTTGGGAAAGGGGTGCCAGGCCCCACCACGGGGATCGCCTACTGCCCCGGCTGCGCAGCGGGAAGACACCACAGTCCAAGACGACAGCAGACAGACGGCGGCAGGGACACAGTCCCTGGACAGGGACAGCCAGCCGACTGTGGACTTGGCCACCTCCCAGGTGCCCGGGCGGAGCCGGCCGAGGAGCCCACCCGACGGCCGGGCAGCAGGAGGAGCAGGGAGGTACAGGTCTTGGCTCCGACCTGGAACCTTCCAGGCCAGGCCCACGCCTGCTCGTGTGGTAGAGTCTTGCAAGCGTGCGGGGCACAAGAGGTGCGCAACTCGGATGTTAGGAAACGTGGGAGGCCACGTGCCTGGAGTGGGGCAGGCCAGCGGTCCCTACCCGGCCATGGGGACCGGTGTCCTTACCACCGTTTCTCGAAAGGCTTGTCACCACGATGACACTCGCTTCACAACTGTGGGTGCAGCAAGTGGA